AAGAACAGGTTAGGGAGGCAGGGACGAGCTGGACTGGTTTTGGGATGTGGTAGGGGGAGGGGAGATTTTGAAACTTGTGAAATCCACATTGATACCATTGGGCTGCAGGGTTCCCAAGCGGAATATGAGTTGCTGTTCCTGCAACCTTCGGGTGGCATCGTTGTGGCACTGCAAGAGGCCCAGGATGGACATGTTGTCTGAGGAATGGGAGGGGGAGTTGAAATGGTTCACGACTGGGAGGTGCAGTTGTTTGTTGCGAACCGAGCGTAGGTGTTCTGCAAAGCGGTCCCAGAGTCTCCGCTTGGTTTCCCCGATGTAGAGGAAGCCACACCGGATACAGCGGATGCAGTATACCACATTGGCAGATGTGCAGTGCACCTCCCAGTCGCGAACCATTTCAACTCCCCCTCCCATTCCTCAGACGACATGTCCATCCTGGGCCTCCTGCAGTGCCACAACGATGCTACCCGAAGGTTGCAGGAACAGCAACTCATATTCCGCTTGGGAACCCTGCAGCCCAATGGTATCAATGTGGATTTCACAAGTTTCAAAATCTCTCCTCCCCCTACCGCATCCCAAAACCAGTCCAGCTCGTCCCTGCCTCCCTAACCTGTTCTTCCTCCCACCTATCCCCTCCTCCCACCTCAAGCCACACCTCCATCTCCTACCGACCAACCTCATCCCCGCCCCCTTGACCTGTCCATCCTCCCTGGACTGACCTATCCCCTTCCTAACTCCCTACCTACACTCACCTTTACTGGCTCCATCCCCGCCTCTTCGACCTGTTTGTTTCCTCTCCACCTATCCTCTCCTCTGTCCCTCTTCTATCCGCCTCCCACTCTCTCCCTATTTATTTCAAAACCCCCTTCCCCTCCCCCTTTTCTGATGAAGGGTCTAGGCCCGAAACGTCAGCCTCTCTGCTCCTATGATGCTGCTTGGCCTGCTGTGTTCATCCAGCCCTGCACCTTGTTGTCTCGGATTCTCCAGCATCTGCAGTTCCTACTATCTCTGATTCAGTTGAAAAAGTTTCCTGTGTTCCTACTGTTAAACTTGGATTTTTAGAGGAAGTCTGTTTAACGTAATAGGAAGCGAAGTATCTGTGGTTTTAGGATCTGGGTTTGCAGTTTCAGTAAACTGTGCATTAGAACTTAGGTTTTATCACTTTATGCCACATATTAACGATTTTTCAGCTCGGCACAATATTGAGCTCTCCTCCATTCCCTTCACCTCAGCGCATATTTCTTTGACCAGGAGTCCCTCCACTTAGCAGATCTATTCACCCGACTCCTGTTCTTCCTCCATCTACACTCCTCCCTTTGGTCTCTGACCTTTACTTATCTTTTCGGAGTTGGACAATACAACTTCAACCATTCCCAATTTCTCTGCAGCCCTCACTTAATCGAATTGGTTTTCCTCTAAACTTGCTGTAATCCATTCTCAGGTCCAAAGCTATCATCGTTGTCAAACCTGCAACAGCAGCAGTGTTCTTACTGTCTGGTGTACTGGTCTCTATCTAGTTGAAGGCCAACTCTCTGACAGTTCCTCCTACTTCCCCACGGTCTATATCCCCATTAATGAATATTAAGTCATTGTATCCAAAACCATCTCTGTCCTCATCTCCTCCAGAGATCTTTCCTCAACAACTTCCTATCTCAGTCCCTTAATCCAAAGTTCCACAAACAGGTCTTCCCTCGCAAAGCTGTTATTTTAGACTCTCCGTCTAAACTCACTTTTTCTTAAGACCATAAGAAATAGGAACAGGAGTAGGTTGTTTGACTCCTAGGCCTGGCTCTGCCATTTAACAGGATCATGGCTGATCTGACATTCCTCACATCCATTTTCCTGTGTTTTACCTATATCCCTTGATTCCCTGACTGATAAAGAATTTATCTATCTCAGCCTTAAATATAAACAAGGACTCTGCCCACAGCTCTCTGTGGCAAGAACTTTCAAAGACTTGCACCTCTCAGGAAGAAATGCCTCCTCATCTCGGTCTCAAATTGGCACCCCTTTATTCTGAAACTATGTCATTTAGTCCTAGACTCTTCCCATGAGGGGGAATATCCTCTCAACATTTACCTTATCAATTTCCTTAAGAATCCTATACATTTCAATGAGATCACCCCCTCATTCTTCTGAACTCCAGCAAGAAGAGTCGCAACCTGTTTAGCCTTTGCTAATAAGGAAATCCCTCTGTATCGGAGATCATCCTCATGAACTTCTCTGAACCACCTCCAAAGAAGTAATATATTTCTTTAAATAAGGGGACCAAAACAGCTCACAATAATCCAGCTGCAGTCTCACCAGCATCTTGTACAGTTGCAGTAAGACTTTCTGACTCTTACACTCCAAACCCCTTGAAATAAACATTTTCCAGCCTCATCCAGTTCTCCTGACTTATGTCCTTGATTCCTTTGATGTCCACGTTAGTAGTTTTCACTTTCCATCTTCTATTCACCACTGGCATCTAAATCTATCTCCACCTCCACTCCACACCCAGATGGTCTGAGAGCTCTCCATTTTCCTTCTTAAAGAGGTCAAACCAGTTTTTATCAACTACTGCTACCCTCTACAAAATGTTCTCTTACTTGATAACTTCTCTGTTAATTAATCTAATTTCCTTCAAATAAAAGGTGTTGTCATTGGTACCCGCATGGGTCCTAGTCGTGCCTGTCTTTTTAGAAGAAATGTGGAACATTTCTTGTTCTGGTCCTACTTAGACACTTCCTCAAAACTCTTCCAGACTTATGAGGACTGTATTGGCACTGCAAAACATTTACAATTCATCCACATGATTTACTGGTTCAGAAACATGCTTGTTTTATTAACAACTTCAAAACAAAATAATGCTACAACGAACAAAATATTTGTGTTCTCTATGCAACAATGAGAAGTCTGATGAAACATGACCTCTTCACACACTTAAGTAAATCAAATAAGAAATGCTTAGCAATAAAGCCAATAGTATTTTCTATAATTTTTCTATAAGTGCAATAATTTTTAGCCCTAATTAGCATGCAGCTGGTTTCAATACCCACTTACAGATACAACAAATCATAATCCATCAGTTTGAAATCAAAGTGAAAGCCAAAACCAAGCTTACTGCTCCATCAAAATAAGCTTGCAATTGGACCACATTACAGGTTTTAAAGCAACCACTTGTCCTTTAGATATCTTTCAATCCAGAATTTAAGAAATTACAGCATCTTGTGTTAAAGGCCATTTTTGTTCCATCAACTATAATAGCTTCTTCCAAAACAGGCCACATTCAGCTGAAAAGCAACATGAACATTTTTCATATTTTGGGGCTTAACTGGTTCCAATCCTTTCCTTAAGTCAGCAATTCTGAACAGTGTCACATCTTTATTTGGATGGCTTAAGGATTCAGCAACACCATGGAATGCATTTGGTAAAGAACTATTTTGTTTTCTTCCCTGGACTGGTTCAAGAGAAGCCCTGGATCCACCTAAAGAAAAAAACACACAAGCTAAATAAAAACCGCAAGAACTGTGGATGCTGTAGATCAGGAACAAAAACAGAAGTTTCTTGGAAAGCTCAGCAGGTCTTGCAGCACTTATGAAAAAGAAAATCAGAGTTAACATTTCGGGCCCGTTTCTGAGGAAAGGTCACCAGACCCGAAACATTAACTCTGATATTGCTTCACACATGCTGCCAGACCTGCTGAGCTTTTCCAGCAACTTCTGTTTTTGTTCCTTACACACAAGCTAAATATTTATTGAACTATTTTGACCCATTTTCCCAACATACGTTCTTTTTGGTCAATCCCAATTGTGTTTCAATTTAAAACACAGTACATGAAATCCAGTCAGATTAATGTGAAGATCATTTCCTGAGATGTTTATACTATCTCGAATAATTCAAACCATTTTGAAAGTCAATGGCAGCCTCATGTTACATTACTTTATTCAATCACCTCTCGCAGCAACTTAATCCAAATTTAAATACTGCATAGAGCAAGAGCTCATAGCCGTAAAATTAAATACCACAATTTCCTAAAATCTATTATTTTCCCATTTAAAATGCCACGTTTTCACTTATTTAGAATAAAGGTTTATGCATTTAAAAAAGAACAGATGAGGCAAAATATTTTCTCAAGAAATGTTAAGTGTCTTTGGAATGCTCTTTCTGAAAAGGCAGTAGAAACAGTTTTTGAATTTTTCAAGTCAGATGTAAAAGGATTCTTGCTAAGAAAGGGCTGGAATGGTCTTAGGGACAGGCAAGAAACTGTATTTGAGGTTACAATCATGTTGATTTGATGCTTGATGTTACTAAATGGCAGAGCAAGCTCGAAGGGCTCAAAGATTGCCTCCTGCTCCTTGCTTGTATGTTTTTAATTTGCTTATTGCATAATGCTCCAAGTAGCCTCTTAAAGTTTTCCAACCTGAAAGGATAGCCCTAGCAAACCTCCACCCAGGTGAATTACAAAATAAAGTAAGAGGAATATTACATTGAACTGCCTGCCCACATGGGAAATGTTCCAGCAATTATATGACATGTGCAAAAGGAGCAAAAGTATGGCACTGTGGATCACCAACACTGTTTCTTGTGTGTCCACTACTCTGGAAATAGTCACACTCACAAGGGAAATCAGTATCAATAATTCACTATACCAAAAAGTCTTTCACCATGTAAATCACTTGGGATATATTCACAATGCAGTATGATACTCTATTTTCCCATCTATCCGTTCCTTCAGGACAAAAGCAAAGTAAAAGGACAGATTTCAACTATATATAATAAAACACATCCTCTCAAAATTAACAAAAGTATTGTTGACAACCAATTCATAATACATTTACATATACCCGTAACAGCTCAAATCAATAACTTTAGTGGCTCAACAAAGATAGCAGCCAGGCTATTTCTCCCACCCATCTCTTCAGCACAGCATGTTAATATTAGTGCAGTACAACATTAGAGCTTCAAACTACGGAATTGATCTTTTCCAATACTCCAATTGGTAAATGGCTTGTCCAATGTGAGTCTGTTCTATTATGACCAGGAGACTTCTGGTTTGCCGAAGCAGACTTTAAGAACTGGGATATGAAAAGTGACTGGTTCCCCTTTCTTGATTTTGAGTAGATAAATTGCATTATGATTTATATTATCTTTCCTTTGGTCTCCTCTCCTGAAGGTTATTATTTCACAGTAAAAGAAAGACAAAGGGACTCCAAATATTTTCTGCTCCAAGTCACAGAACTTATTAAGAAGAATATATGATCTGAGTACAAAGACGATCATCTCTCCCTACCCAGCCAGTGAAAAGAAATCCTGCATTTCTTCAGTACTACCCAATCAACACAGCAAAGATTTAAACTAGGGACCTTGAAAGGCAACACGTTTATCAATTATGTTTACATTTAACTTGGAATATTATCACGTTTGTGATTAAAAAATACAGATAAGCATATGTCGGTTGTCATGCAGCACGAGTTTAGGATCATGTTGAAAATATATATCTACCTGATTCCACTTGTATGGTCTTTCACAGTATTGTGGTGTAATACTTTCTCTCAGCTTCTTTCCAGTGAATATGCTGTAAACAGACCAACATTAGGATCTTGTCAGAACTTGTTTCACCACGAGATTGGCACGATATCAAAAGCTGATCAGTAGTGTCACATTAGTAAAATCAAAACATTGCCTAAACTTGCAGGACTCTCTCATGGCAGATCCTCTTGGGTGCAGAACCATTTATTGCAAAATTCCATTCCATTTAACCAATGCAGACAATGCCATCCTTGACAAGGGAACATAGCACCAACTTTAAACAATGACTTGCAGATAGTAACACTGTACAAATTACTCTTCTCAAATCCAGAAAGCCAAAATGATCAAAAATCAAGTACTAGAGTTTTCAAAAAATTTCCTGGAATAAGAAAATCCAAATGACGATTTCATGCAAAGAACTTATCACTTGAAATAAAAGAGCCAAAATAAAAGAAATAGCAGTGAACTGAAGGATTTTTTATATTGCTTTGGAACGAGGTGATGAAAGTGATTAAATCCACTACTTCTTTTAAAGAAAGTTTAGTGCACTAGCTCTTACTGGAAAACAGGAGTGTGCCATTCCTTTTCCTGCTTAAAGAAAAACTGCAAACTCATCAATCTGTAAACAATGAACCCACTAGGAGAACTATTATCAATAATCCCCAATGGCAATATTTCATTTGCCCTTCTTCTCTCCCTATTTGGTTCTTCCTCAATTCTTTTCTTCAATTTCCCTGTGCACCTCTTTCCCATCAGCTCCAAGATTTCTTCTGTCCCACCTTCCTTTGGATTTTATTCACCTCCATTTTCCCTTCCGCCTTCTCTCAAATGCTTTCTTCCACCTCATCTCTCTTGAAACTGCCTTGTGTCACTTTTTCTTTCCCCTCCCATTCACCCTATCTTCACTACCTGCTACTTCGCTCCTTGAACAATTCACAAATTATATAACTAAGGTGATGTACTAAGAAAGGGTAAAAAATGTATTTTTATTATCTCCCAAAGACATTTGTAATCTTTTCTGGGGAAGGATGGTGGCACAGTGCTAATATCACTGGATAAGTAATCAAAACATCCAGGATAATGCTTTGGGAACAGGGGCTCAAATCCCACCATAGCAGAATTTAAATTCAATTAATAAATCTAGAATATAAAAATAATCTAGTAGACTACTTTCAAAGTACTCCGTTCGGAATACATTTCCTTATTCTGAATTTATTTCAAATGTACTGATGTTTAGAATTTGCAAATTTAACAATGTGACTCCAAGGTTTTAACCAGTTTTCAAATGATCAGTACTAAGTAGATCATCTTCTCATCTTCCAACTGCATAAACAATATGCTCCCTGGGTGTTACCAGGACAAGTATTATAGCACTCTGGGTGGCCTTACTCTATTAATCTCTGTCGGGCTTCATTTTGCAGTGTACGTATTTTCTCATGGTTTCCTGAACGTAGTAGTCCATCACAAACTAACATGTTAATTGTGCTCCGCAGCAGATTGATCTGAAGGTAAAAGTTCAAACATAACTTTTCAGCATTTTCAAGATGAAAAATATTTTCCTGAATCTATCCATGACACAGCTAAGTTGATTAAAAAAATTCTATTCTATCAACACACAAACTGGAGAAGGACACAGTCTGAGAAGACTGACAAATTTACTGATCTGTAACTCTTATAAAAGATGAAGTCTATTTTGAGGTAGCTGACAGACTTTTGGAGAACAGAAACTTATTGTTAAATGTTTGACACAAGAATGTTTAATTATTCAACAGTAGTCACACATCAAGACTGCTGTGCCCATTTGAAATCATACCAAACTGGTCTTGAACCACAGAATCCATTTGTAATTTCAGCTCTCATAACAAAATGTTTCATTTTTTGAATGAATTAAGGACAATGGAGTAATTTAGTTAAATTTGAAAATAGTTGCTTTACATAAGAACTAGGAGCAGGAGTAGGCCATCTGGCCCCTTGAGCCTGCCTCGCCATTTAATAAGATCATGGCTGATCTTTTTGAGACTCAGCTCCACTTACCCGCCCACTCACCATCACCCTTAATTCCTTTACTGTTCAAAAAATTATCTAGCCCTGCCTTAAAAACATTCAGCGAGGTAGCTTCAACCACTTCACTGGGCAGGGAATTCCAAAGATTCACAACCCTTTGGGTGAAGAAGTTCTTCCTGACCTCAGTCCTACATCTGCTTCCCTTTATTTTGAGGCGATGCCCTCTAGTCCTAGTTTCACCTGCTAGCGGAAACAACCTCCCTGCCTCCACTTTATCTATTCCCTTCATAATCTTATATGTTTCTATAAGATCTCCCCTCTTTCTTACTATCACCTTTCAACATCATGAAGAAATAGCCTTAATATTTGTGCAGTCTTAAATTCTATTTCCTTCATAGATGCCAAAAAATAAAGCAAATTAGCAATGCAATAAATCATTATGCACAATGCAGCAGAATTGATTTCAGACATTTCAAGTCTCTGTGTATGTGGCATTAGCTCTATGTGCATTAAAAAGAAATTTTCATTCTTCCAAGTGCAGAATTACTTTATGGAGCTGTATGTGAACATATTGCCAGAAGATATTATATTTTACATCCATAGATAATTTATCACCAGATGAATAGCCTTTCTCCTACTCAGGTTACGCTTCCCTAGAATTCATTAAGTGAAAAATATTTCAGCTTTTGTTTGAAAAGAAGGTGACTACATATCAAATACTATGATGCAAATTAATTTTAACGAGTTCAACATTTGGAAATCTACTAATATCTACAAGAAAACACAACCAACAAAGCCTCAAGCTTCCTTCCTAAGTGGCAGTTGTATCATTACTGAATCATTATCTTTAGTTTCAGATGGTAACATAATTTCTCGGTGTTTACCAAAGAGCTAGAAGTATTTGGAAATTTTAAATGTTCAATTTGCGAACATTAATAATCAAATATCAGCCACCTGTAATTTAATTACACAACTTAAGAAATTTCATGTAAAAGGAAGTAGAACATTATCTAGAAGGCAAGTGTCAGTCCTCAAATTAATAAAATTAAAAATATTATAGATGGAATTCAGGTGGAGAACACAGTTAAGTTTCTCAGCACATCACACAGTAATACCACACTACCTCCATAATATCATTTACATCAAAATGCACATCAAAAACAACTTCCAGATCATGTTCTTCCAACAGAGGAGCATTGGTTGTTGGATTCCACCCTAAGCCACACAGCGCACCAGTGTAATACTTTCTCAGTCTGTCAGTTCTGTAGAAACATAAAATTTACAACTGTCAGCATAGGCAAGGACAACCAAAATCAAAAACACCGAAGGTATAACCACCCTACCCTTAAAATTATAACTTGTGTGCTATTCTCACATGCTTAATTGTGGCTGGTGAAGAGAAGCATCGACCAGAATTTTTGAGCAGTTTTGACACCTGACATGCGTGTTCAGATGCAAAAATAGGCAACTCTAAGAGAAAGAATATATGCCCACCATTGTGAAATTTTAAGTTCAAAATCATCACATCAAAAACAGTGCTTCTTTACAAATTCAGTCATCAAACACCACAGACAGTAGCAGTAGTGGCCCATATCACATCTGGTTAAAAGAAGAATATATAAAGTTAAGTGACAAAAGAGAAACACAAAAAAGAAATTTTATGCAGCTGCCCTCCTGCACATTTTCACATGTACCTTAGTTCTACAACTGGAGCGAATATCATACAGATGAGAGCTGGAAGTCCATGGATATTTGGCATCAAACTAGTTTCTCTCACAATTATAGTTGAACCTGTAAGACCAGACAATGATAAAGCAGGCAAATTTTTTAAAAGGTTAACAGGATAAAATTCTTTCTGACCCTGCATTTCAATGATTACGAATGGGTAAAAACACCATTTCCTTCACAAAACATTCCAAAAAAAATGACAGCTATTAAGAATACAAATACACTCTGTTTCAGGAAGCAGTCACACGTTAGTTACATCAAATGTGGTCCACGGTCCATGAGCAGACTGCAAGTGAGGCAAGTACGGGGATCCAGAATTTTACGATGGGGGAGCCTCAGCTGGTATCCTTGTCCAGTACGTAGGAGATTCTTACTCACAGGTCAGGACATACCTCCTCTGCTGCAGAGGAATTTGAGTGGAAGGGGAAAGGATCAAGGTGTCGTGATCCATGCAGATACCAATGACATAGGGAGGTCTAGGAAAGAGGTTCTGCTGAGATATTATGAGCAGCTTGAGGTTAAATTAAAAAGCATAACCACAAAGGCAATAATTTCTGGATTACAATTTGAACCACATGCAAATTGGCATAGAGTAAATAAGAGTACAGAGGTAAATGCGTGGCTCAACGAATGGTGGTGGAGAGACTGGTTCTGATTCACGTGGCCCTGGCACCAGTACTCAGGAATGAGTGAGCTGTTCCACTGGAAGGGGCTTCATTTGAAGCAAACTGGTATCAGTATCCTGGCAAATAGTATATCTAGGGCTGTAGATTGTTAGAAACTGTGGTCCCCTTTAAAACAAAACCCTTTCAGTATTCCACTGTATTTACTGTGTAGCATGAGACCCCATTTAACTGTGTTGCAGTCGTAACTAGCTTTCTACAAACAGAAACAAATTTCTAGCATATGAAAATACAGGAAAGCTCACAGGAATCAGTGAGATCATGATATTCAATTGAACCGACAAAGATTTTTCAATCATGCTATCTTATTATCAATGCAGCATTTGGGCGAATAGGATGCTTTGGTCTTAGAAGGAATGACAATTAATCTTCAAATTGAGGTGGGCAATGGGACAATATTCATCCTGATAATGGTTCAGACAGTTGACTGACACAGCATAGATCGCCAGCCGTAAAAGTAACTATATCAACAAGGAGGTGGAAAGTGGGGTGAAGAGATGGAAGACCCATGGAAATATACTATCACCTCTTTCAGAGAAGACGAGAATTCAAGGGATTAACAAAGACTGTTACCACCAAAGATGCCATCAAAGACTGTGAAACATCAGGGATAAACAGGCCATCACTCCAAACTATAGAGGGCCACTACTTCTGCTTCTTCATTTTACAGAAAGCTTTGGGATTGGTGAAGCCTTCTCACCTGTCACAAGTCTTATTATTCTTTTCTGTACGTAATTAACTAAGGTATTATGTCTAAATTGCTTAACCTTAAATTCAATATAACTACATGAAAATTGATTACAAATGGTCAACTGCTGATTTTAGGTAACGGTGATCAAACTCCCAGAAACAATCTAACAGTTCACGTCAGGAATAAGATCTCACAAAAGTTGACAGTTAACTGGCTTTAAATTTGAGAAGTAGCAATTTTACATTTGTGGTTGCATGCATGTGGAGTAAATCTTAAGTACAATCTCTCTCCGGATGATGTTCCCTCCTGCCTGTAAGAATCTGTGTTTGAATGTACCTTTTTGCCAAGGGTTGTGTTTATGGGATTTACTATATTGGAACAGTTAATTAGTTAAGTTGCTGTATCAGGTCTATTAGGTTTTCCAATAGTTGTTACTCTAAGTTCTGATTTCTTTTGTTCATGTTTCAACTGTAGTGTTTAAATAAATTCTGTTTTGCCTAAAGCCGAGTGGTTTGACCAGTTGCATCACACCTGGAACACCCATTTCACATCTGCCTTTAAAATAAGAAAAAGTTAGGGTCTAGGCTATCTTCGTAAAATATTCTGAGGGGTCTGGCCTGGCCATAACAGATTGAGGGTTCATCCAGGATAATTCTATAATTCCAATGTGCGTTTAGGGTTGTTGGACTCAAAGGTGGCGAGTGATAGGTGTTAGTGTATTTTGTTTCGGGTGTTGAATTCGGTTGGTTTAAACAGTGCTTTGTGTAGTAATGGCTCTTTTCAGTCACTAAGAATTTTCTGAGGGTGGAAGAAATGGTTTTACAAAAGGTGAGCAAGGCAAACAAACTGGAGTGGGGTTGCCTTTGTGAGAAAAGGAGGGAATTACAGCAACAGCTTGACATTTAAATTTGCTTGAAATGCCATCGATGTCTTTGGAAATGGCTAGAATTCAATTGCAAATGAAGCAGCCTGAAAATGAAAGGGAGCTGAAACAGTTTAAGTTATGGTTGAAAGCAGAGGGAAGAGAAAAGGAAAAAGTTGCCCGAGCAGAACAAAAAGGACAGAATCACCCTGACAGTACAAAGAGAAAAGGAAAGAATTGCACTGGCAAAAAAAAGGAGAGGCCCTAGCAAGAAAGGGAGGGGGGTGGGAAAGAGAGAGAGAGAGAAAGAAAGAAAGAGAACGAAAAGCAGAAAGGGAGAGACTAAATAAAAACCGAGAGAACTGCGGATGCCATAAATCAGCAACAAGAACAGAAGTTGCTGGAAAAGCTCAGCAGGTCTGGCAGCATCTGTGAAGAGAAAAATTGGAGTTACTGTTTCAGGTCCAATGACTCTTCCTTCTACCAACTGTAGCCAAAGGCTTGATGGGGACCTGTTTAAATATATCCAAGCATTACCTAAATTTGATGCGAAGGATGTATAAGCCTTTTTTTAAATCTCATTTGAGAACTTGGCTAAATAAATGAAGTGGCTGGTGACCATGTGGGTTTTGTTGATCCAAACAAAGTTGGTAGGTAGATCTAGTGAGGTATTCGTATCACATTTAGAGGAGGTATCTGGGGAGTATGAGGAGATGAAGAAAGCCATCTTAAGTGCATATGAACTTGTGCCAGAAGCTTACAGACATTTCAGGTACTTAAGGAGGGACCCTGGTCAAACATACATTGAATTCAAAAGGATCAAAACAAAGTAATTTTGATAGGTTGATAAGGGCATTAAAAGTAGATAGACAATTATTTTGGAGGAGTTCAAAAATTCACTTTCTGAGATAGTGAGAACTCATGTGAAAAAACAGAGAGTTAAAACAGCAAGACTAGCTGCTGAAATGGCTAATGATTATGAGTTGGCTCATAAATCAACTTTTGGCTTCCGACATGAATTTCAATCCATGAGGGATAGAAACTGGGGAAAAAGAGAAATCCTCAGGTGATAAGGAAAAGTATATCTCATTGAAGACAATAAAGATAGCTTAGCAGAAGGTAAAAAGGAAATCCATGAAAGGGAAAGAGAAGTTAGAAAGCTCAGGTGTTTTCACTGCAATAAAGTAGGCCACATGAAGTCCCAGTGGTGGTGGTTTAGGAAAAGCTCTCGGAAGATAGATGTAGGAAAACAGGATAAGTTAATGAATTTTGTAAAAGTGGTAAAGGAAAGCATAGTGGAGGCTAAAAAGCTGTACCAGAATGTATAACCTGGTCAGAGGTTGGTTGAGAAGGAAGTGTTATATTTTCTTAAACCATTTATTTGCGAAGGTGAGGTTTACATGCATAAATTAGGAGCAGCAGGTAAAGAAGTTACAGTATTAAGAGATACGGGATCGTGTCAATCTTTAATGTTGAGAGATGAGGAGATATGTAATTCAGAAAGACTATTGCCAGAAAAAGTGCTACTAATTGAAATTCATGGTGAGATGACAAGTGCTCCATTATGGAGAGTGAGGTTGGAATGTCCAGCGAAAAGTGGATAAGTGATGATAGCAGTACTGGAGAAACTCTCGGCTCCAGAAATACAATTTGTCCTTGGTAACAATATAGCTGGATCACAGGTAGGAGTGCAGCCTACTGTGGTTAAAAGATCAACAAGGTCATCGATGTGTGGAACCAGCGCAGATGGGTGAGACACTAAATGAATACTTCACGTCAGCTTTTACTGTGGAGAACGAAATGGAGGCTACAGAACTCGGGGGGAATAAATATTGATGTCTTGAAAATAGTCAACATTACACAATATCAGGTGCTGGAGGTCTTAAAAACAAAGGTGGATAAATCTCCAGGACCTGATCAAGTGTATCCCAGGACGTTGTGGTAAGTTAGAGAAGAGATTGCAAGGCTCCTAGCAGAGATATTTCTATCATCTATAGCCATGAGTGAGATGCCAGAGGACTGGAGAGTGGCAAATGTTATGCCTTCATTTAAGAAAGGCTGGAAGGAGAACCACGGGAACTATAGACTAATTAGTTTAACATCAGTGGTGGGTATGTTGTTGGACAGGATTCTGAAAGATAGAATTTATACTCATTTGGAGACAAAGGGACTGATTAGGGATAGTCACCATGGCTTTGTTGTGGGAAATTGTGTCTTAGAAACTTGATTGAGTTTTTTGAGGATGTTACCAAAAGAATTGTTGAGGACAGAGTGGTAGACGTTCTTTGTTTGGACTTTAGTAAAACCCTTGTCAAGGTTCCGCATGTTAGACTAATTTGTACAGTTAGATCACATGGGATTGCCAACTGACTGCAAAATTGGCTTGACAGTAAGAGACAAAGGTGGGTGGTGAACGGTTGTTTTTCGGACTGGAGGCCTGTGACCAGCGGTGTTCCACAGGGATCAATGCTGGGTCCACTTTTGTTTGTCATTTATATAAATGATTTGGGTGAGAATTTAGGAGGCATGGTTAGTAAGTTTGCGGATGACACCAAAATTGGTGGTACAGTCGTCAGTGAAGAATAGTAACTAAGGGAAAAAAGGGACCTTGATCAATTGGGTCAATGGGCTTAGGAGTGGCAGATGGAGCTTAATTTGGATAAATGCAAGATGTTGCATTTTGGTAAGATGAACAAGGGAAAGACTGACAGTTAATGGTAGCGTCTTGGGCAGTATTGTTGGACAGATAGACCTACGGGTTTAGGTATATAGTTCTTTGAACATTGCATAACAGCTAGACAGGGTGGTTAAGAAGGCTTTTAACATG